CAGTAAAGCCCTTAGGAGCCATTGGCGAGGATCAAGAAAAAAAATTTTTTTCCAATGGACAATCTTTGCCAGGGTTTATTGGTTATTTTATGGGGGTTACTATTTCTCGCTGGTCAGGATGTTCCTGTTTGTCCCGAACAATGGTAGGAGGCGCCATATAAATCCCGCGTATTTTCCCGCAAGCCTGCCTCGGTCGTCCTGTTCCTGCTAACTTGATATCTTGATCCTTTGGACTGGCTCTCTCCTGTGTGACTTGATTCGGCAAATATTCAACTTATGTTTCGATCCGGCATATACAGTCCACGGAAAAAGTGTTAGCATGTTTTCATAATTTCGACCTTTTTTCTTTGATACTTACATCATTACCGCCTACTGCTACGAGGCTTCACGCGATCAATCTCGTATATTTGTTAAGATTACCTGCCAAGTTACGAGCCAATGGATGCACTCTATCCGGCTAATTGAGGACATGAACATATTGACCCCATTCTAACACTTTTTCGAAATATGACCACCCTCTGATTCTGTTAGCTACTGTTCTGCCATTAATAATCGATATGGCCTCCTTTATTTGCGTGAAGCCTCTTCATGCGCTCGGGCATGCTCTCATATAGCTCGTGAATGAATTTGATATCTATTGTTGTCCATATATCCTGAACACGCTCCCAGAGGTCGTCCAAAGAGCTTGGTGCCTCTGGATACTGATCAAGTCGGTACTTGAGGTGCGACCATAGATGCTCGATCGGGTTGAGGTCCGGAGAATTCGCAGGCCATTCCATGACTGCGATCTTGGATTTCCTAAGGAAGTCTTCGACTATGCCTGCTGTATGCACTTTGGCATTGTCCTGCTGAAAAAGGAATTTTGCTGGATCCATACCAAACCAATCCCGAGATGCGCAAAGATAGTCCTTCAGTACATCGAAGTAGGTTTGTGCATCCATACTTCCTGGGATCCAGCAGGCATCGCCCAAGCCATAAAATGTCATGCAACCCCAGACCATAATTTTGCCCCCTCCGCCCTGCTTTGTTTTCTGCACTTGGTGAGGTTGGATATCCTTCCTGTTGGGCTTCTTGTAATAGAATTTCCTGCCGAAGGACCCAATCCTGCTGATTATAGTTTCGTCCGAGAACATCACATTCTTCCAGTCGTCCACGGTCCATTTCAAGTGCGCCTTAGCAAATTCGTAGCGTGCTCTGATTTGATCCGGTGTCAGATCACGCTTCCTAGGCTGGACGTATGCTTTTAAGCCCTCCTGTTTAAGGTAGTTCCGGACACTGTCTACATGAACCTGCACTCCTTGCACCGATTGGATAAGTCGCTGGCCGTCGCGGAGGGTTACGGCTTTTCCTGTGACGAAATGACGAGCAAGTAAGGTCTTGGTCTTCTTCGAAACCTTCGAAGGACGCCCTATTTTAGGGGATGGAACGTTCTCCTTGTCCCTTTGACGAATCTTGGAAACGGAGAAAGTAGAGATATGCAAGGATCTTGAGACCTCGCGGACAGATTTTCCTTGCCGAAGTTGGATAATCGCATCGCGTACGGTTTGTTCTCGCAGCCGCTTCATGTTTGATGTAAACTTGGGATGAATGTGGCGTAGGATGGGAGTAGTGGATAACTGTGCAGTTGTATTGTTCTAGTTGCGAGTGAGGATGCAGACCGTAAGGGAAGAGCACAATTTATAGGATTTTTTAAAAAGTGTTAGAGTGCACCTCATGACTTTCGAGATCCTTCGTTCCTCAGCTGAAGGTCATTCAAGCCTGGAACATTCTAGAAAACTCCTTGTAAATTACGACATTGTCCACCAGACATCTCGGTCCTTGGTAATAGCGTAATAGGGAGATAAAGGAGTATAAGTCCAAAATAGCAAAATATGCTAACACTTTTTCCGTGGACTGTATACACAGATCACCGTGCATTGACATTCATACATTCTCAGCAGAATCTTAATCCAATGATGACCGCTTGGCAGGATACCATCCTGAATTATTCCTTCACGGTTCATTACCGACCGGGTTTTCTGAATATTCTACCAGACGCTTTGTCACGTCTATTTCCGGTCAAAATTCCAAAGCAGCACTCATCGAATACAGAAGAGTACAAAAGAGCTCTTGCCTACATGCATATTCTACAAAATGAAGAAACAGAAAGAGAATTAGTACCTGAAAAAGACAGGGAAGAAACCATGCACAAAGCGCATGCAATGGGTCATCTTGGTACAAATGCTATGGTGAATTCAATCCATCAAGAAGAGAAAACCTGGCCCCACATGGCCAATGACTGTCTGAATTTCATAAAACGGTGTCGAGAATGCCAACGTGTAAATATCGCACGTAAAGGCTATCACCCAATGAAGGCAATTCATGCACACTTACCTGGGGAGCACATCGCCATCGACATTGCAGGCCCTTTCGAAGAGTCTGAAGACAAAAACGTCTATTTGTTGGTTATGGTCGACGTTTGTACTCGGTTTGTATTGCTGGATGCATTACCAGACAAATCTGCATACACAGTCGGAAAGACTTTATTTAAAAGGTTTACTGATATTGGTTTCCCTCGCGTGCTACAATCCGATAACGGAAAAGAATTCGTAAATGAGTTGATCCGTATCATGACCACGCAAATGTACATTGATCATCGATTAATAACACCATATCATCCAAGGGGAAACGGAGTGGCAGAAAATCATGTTAAAACGGCATGCAATATGATTCGCAAAGAAGTCAAAGGAAATCATAAACAATGGGATCGACACATTCCATTCATCCAATTAGCTGCCAATACGCGAACTGTTAGTTTGCACAATTCATCTCCGTTCTCGTTATTCTTCGCGCGCAAAGTTAACGGTTTCTCTAACTATACCAACGAAGAAGGCAGAAATATGAATGAAGAAGAACTGCTTGAACGTCTAAAATATATGACCGAGATCGTCTTCCCCGCCATTAGAAAGAAATCTAAGGCGAAACAGCAAAAAATGATCGAACGATTTAATGCAACAGTGTTGCACAATGAATTCCCAGATGGAGCAAAAGTAATGACTCTTGATCCAATTAAAGGAGGCAAGCTTACTCTACGATATGAAGGACCATATACAGTGGTACGACGCACTTCACATGGCTCATATATCCTTAAAGATGGAACAGGAGCTATATTAGGACGTCATTATGCCCCATCTCAGCTCAAGCTTGTGCTGGATGATTTTGAAGACACTGACACCTATGAAGTGGAAAAAATCGTTAACCACAGGGCTAGTACAATCACACCTAATACGAATGAATATTTGGTCAAATGGAAGGGTTATTCTTCCGATGAAAATACATGGGAACCTGAAGATCATTTTATTGAACGACGATGCATCAGTGATTACTGGGCTGAGCATCATGCCGCACAACAAAAATCAAATAAGCGAACATACGTTGACACGGCAACAGGCACCTCTGGCCGGCCGTCTACGCGGCGCAAACGATCTCAAAGCACACGTTCATAACAAATACAAATATCTTACTGCACAAGAGATAACTAAACGCATGAAAAAAAAAAAAAAAAAAAAAAAAAAAGGCACAAGACATATACAATGAGCATTACATTCGAATGGTTCTGCGACAAATAGAATGGCTAGAATCCTTTATTTGCATTCAGCTAACTAAAGTAATTAGTCTGCTTATCAAAATTGAGGACTATAATGTTAGTCCTGGCCTTTCTACGCCTCTTACGAGGACGTTGCTCTTTCCTGCTATCGTCCTCCGCTTCAACTTGAACCCCCTGCTCTGCTGTCTTTCGATCCACCTGAGTGCCTTCATCCTTGTAAATTATATCCCGCTCACGTTTCAGGGTACTGCGAAGTTCCTCGATTTCCAGATGAGCTGCGATGAGTTGAGCCTCATAATCCTCGTCCGTGCCACCCTGATCCTGTGGCGAATCATCATCTTCCTCGAGGGGCTGAGTCTCATAATCCTCGCCTGTGACACCCTGACCCTGGGGCAAATCATCTCTCCTCGTCAGGTTGTGATGCTGGCACATATTCAGGCTTCGCCAATGCACGCTTGCCTAGTGCCACGTCCGAAGGAAAAGTCGGAGACCAATCTTCCTTCGGTACCTGTGTAAAAGGTACCGTCTCCTCCGACAATACCCCCACTGGCTTCGCCGTCGAAGTGGATTCCTCCTCCTGCTGTCTTTTCAGCGCAGCAAGGCGCTTAGCTTCACGCCTAGCTTCACGCAAGTCGATGATAGGACGAAGATGGGACATAATGAAAAATATTGTGAAAATTTGTAGGAAAGTGTTTGTGTTGGGCAGGTGAATGAGAAAGAAAGAATGAGGAATCAACCTCGTTCATCTCTCACCTTGGACATCCATCCATCACTCATTCCCATCCGCATCATCTCATTGGTCCATGGGACATCAGATGATCTCACAATTTTGATCAGATGATCTTGACTGTATGATGTCACGAAAAAAAAAAAAAAAAAAAAAAAAAAAAATCCATGCACAATCAACCTAATTTACGCGATTCAAAATCTCTGCAGTACAACTCACTCTGCCTCATATGCCATACAAAATCCTGGAACTCGTGCCTCGTTCTCCAAGGGGAGGGGGAGCTGTCGCATATTTCACCAGAGTTCACTGTATATTTAGTTTAACAAGTGTACCTCCAGCTCACTATTATATTTAATACAAATAAATACCTAATCGGTGTGGTGTGTGGAGCCACATCTCTTTCTCACTTAATTCTGAATCCCAAAAATATCTCACTGGATTCCTGCTCGAGGTCAAGTCCTCTCACCTAGTGGCCCCTATCCGATCCGACCATGCTTTGGTTGCGGCTACTTTCGACGTCCACACCTTGGTCAGCCCAACCCCACATCACATCCGGTCAGCCCACTGCGTGAAGAGCAAAAAGATCCTGGTCGACGCTGCAAGCGAGGAACAGTGGTCTGATTTTTCAAGCCAAGTGGAAGAGTTTCTTCCCCTCTACGGTCAACTGGAGTCTTATGGACTCGCGGAATATCTTCAAGGTGATCCAGAAACAACATACGCATCGCCTGAGCTCCTCCAGACGCTACCTCTCGATCCGGTGTGGGACCGCTTTCACTCCATCGTGATGTCGGCTGCCTATGCGCACCTTCCCTCTGTCAAGACTGGAGGTGTCCCGCAACCCCGTCGCGATGAAGATCGGCTCCAGGCGAAGACCAGTGACCTTGGATATATCATTCGTTCCGTCCGCAGCGCATTCAACGACCAACATGTCTCTGACGACGCACTCAAGAACCTGACGCGCAGAGAGATACACAAGTGGTACGCTGCTAATGGTGCCGAGTTTGGTCTTGGCCCGATCCCCGACGCCAACGATAATCCTGCCAGATGGGAGGCCTGGCTCGAGACTGTGAAGACAACGTGGCGTGCTGCTCGCCTCGCCCACCGTGAGTATCTAAATGCGCACCGACAAATGATCATCAACGACCACATCGACCGTCGAGATATCAACTTCGAGGCGCGCACACGGCAGACGATCCGCAGCATTCTGGAGGTTTCGTCCGGCCGGATTCATTTGGACCACCTCGTTGTGGAGAATGACGATGCTGGCCTCTATGTGACAGATGATCCAATAGAAATCAAGCAAAGGGTTCGTCAGTATTTCTGCGTCACATTTCATGCTGAACGCGTCTGCAAGCCATTGGAGGGGCGATGGGTAGATGCTTACCAACCACGGGCCGACATTGATGAGAGTTGGTATGACGCCCTCATGGAAACACCATCCCGTGAAGAGGTAGCTGCTGCTCTACAATCTCCATCTACTAACAAGGCCCCAGGCATATCAGGGCTGTCTGGAGACCTACTGAAGCACCTCGGACCGATTGCTTTCTCGGTTTTTGTCGTCCTTGTGCAGGCCAGCATTGCACAATGCACTTTGCCCACGGTGTGGCTCAAGGGGCTCATCTATTGCATCCCGAAAGGTCCGTCATGGACTGGCAAGATCAGCGAGGTCCGTCCGATAGCCCTGCTAGAGCACGCGAGGAAGATCCTGTTCACGATCTTGGTCAACCGCCTTACAGCCATATTCGCACGCCACAGCGTTTTACGCGGACCAAACTTCTCGGTCATGAAGGGCACAATGACAAAGGACCCGATACACATTCTCAACTCGGTTATGGAGGACGCCAGAGAATTCAACAAAGAGCTGTGGGTGCTGTTCCAGGATATGCGCCGCTGCTTCGACTCTGTCTCATGTGGTCCCGACGGCATGCTCGAACGTGGAATGCGCCACCTCAAGATCCACCCTAGCTTCATTCAATTCTGCTTGACGATTGCGGCCTCCAAGAAAAACCAGATCCTGACGGCTTTCGGGCTCACGGAGGAGTACAGTCCACAGTGCGGTCTGGATCAGGGCGGGGTAGAATGTCCGTTGTTTTGGCGCATCTCGTACGAAATCTTGCTGAGTGTGGTCATGGATTCCGGGCTTGGGTATCCGGTCATGCGCAAGGCTGCCTTGGCTGAACACCATCATCTCCATTTCCCGCAGCCTGCGCTCCCGGATCCGTAGCTCTTTATTGCCGCATTGGCCTTCGTAGACGATACAACCTGGGCAGCACCTAACCGTGAAAGTATGCAAGAGATCATTGAAATTGCGATGAGTTTCTTCTCCCTGAATTCCATCGAGATCAATCCAAAAAAGACAGAACTATTGGTCGTTACAACAGGTTTATGCTCGGTTAAGTGCATTATGATGTCATCAGCGCTTCGCCCATCTTTCTACGACTTTCTAGAACACTGTTGCTATCTATCCAGCCAGTTTATATAAACCCCATCCACACGTAGAACTAGACAGCAGCATTGATACGAATAAAGTCCCCTTTCCACCCTAGATTCACTTCCACTTGATCTGACCGTTTGCAGTCGTCAACCCTACCACAGGTGATCACACTGTCCCGCTTGGTGACGACATCATCGAGGCACTCCCTCAAGCGACGGCTGCCAGAATGCTTGGTGTCTGGTTCTCCGCTGATGGCAAAGGCACACACACCCGTCAACTCGTGCAGCAGGAGGTCAAGTCCATGTGTCAACTGCTATCCAGGAAAGCTATCACAGACAAGCAGGCAATTTTCATCGTCAACGATGTGCTCATCCCGCGCATTCTATACCGCCTCACGACAACCATTCTCTCAGACCAAGAGCTTACCAAGATTATTGGCCAATATGCAGGTATGGTTCGGCAGAAGGTCGGCTTGCCGAAAGGTACGCCTAACAGCATCCTGTTCCATCGACGCCTCTACGGACTTCGACACCTTGGAGACGTGCAGGAGGAGGAGCAGATCTCTACTGCATTGCTTTGGTTCAACGATCCAGGGCTTGTGGGTCAGGTTATGGAAGCAAGATCCTTGGCGCACCAGGCTGAGTGCCGTTTGCCTGTCCCGCCTTGCCAGCTGCCTGCTGTTGGAGCCCAGTTCTCCAAACACAACTTCCTGGGCCATGTGTGCCGTCTCATGTGCAGCCGCCAGATTGTTTTTGGCCAGCCATCAAGCACTCCTGATCCAAATCCCTTGATCGCCCTCCTTCTGCCCCCGAAGGTGTACCGAAAAGTTGCACGTCAACTCAGTATTGACGGTGTGACACGCCTACTCGATGTGGCCACCGCTGATGGTACTGCCCTGGCAAGCTGGGCCGAGCTGAAGCAAAGGCTGTATATCAAAAACAGGCCACGACAATGGTACGATAGTCTACGTCGCCATATCTGCATTCCAGCAACCAATGATGCGCTGTGGTGTAGTGGCTCTATATCAGGTAAAAGTACTAGCTGTGAATATGTTGCTCAATAAAAGTCTCTTCTGCTTTACGAAGTTTCTACATAATAATTATCTTACGGTGTATGGATAAAGCTCCAGATGTGGGGGCACTGGTAAGAGATCTTTCAACGGTGAGGATAATAAAGACAGTGTGATAGTATCCTAGGCTAACCTTCTGCTTAGCCCTCAACCACGCCCCCATCACCGCGCCTCCACCACTGCGCCCCCTGTATATTAGTATAAATACCTCTATCTCTCTGTATAATAAAGATCATCCGTTCTAGCCCTTGTCTCTTGTCCCCTGCCTCTCGTGTTCCTACCTCGTGCCCTCTTGTTCCTGCACTTGTTCCTTCCTTCGTTTTGTTGCTATTACACATACCCACAAAATTTAAAAAACCCATCTTTTTCAGTACTTGGTGCGCTTTCCCTTAGCCCTATGAAGGGCACAAAGCCGTCTGGGCATGCTGCTGATAAGGTTTTGGCAGTACTCCTTAGGAATGTTGTACCATTCCTTCGAGATGCGCTCCTATAGCTCTTTGCCACTTTTCGGTGGTTCCCGGTACTTTGCCAGCTGTTTCTTGAGGTACGCCCACATATTCTCGATTGGATTGAGGTCGGGCGACTGTGCCGGCCAGAACAGCAAGCGTCGGTCCTCCTCAGTCAGATTGGCGGACTTGAGGTATTGCTTGGTGACCTTGGCGGTGTGCTTGGGATCGTCGTCGTACTGGAAGTTAAACTCGTCCTGTACCATGCCCCATTCCTCCACAGACATCTTCAAATCCTCTTGCAGAATCTGGATATACAGCTGGGAGTCCAAAGTGTCGTCAATCATCGCGATATATCCAGGCCCGTGCCATGAGAAACAGGACCACACCTTGACGTTCCCTCCACCAAACTTGACGGTACCTTCCACAGTTCGGCCCGTTACTGCCCCTGGCGCATCATCCCACACCCATTGCATGCCATCCGAGCAAATCCGGTTGATTTTGGAATCGTCGGAGAACACCACTTCGGCCCAGTCGT